GCTGGTGTAGGTTGGAATCCCACCGAGGCTGCTGAGTTTTACACAAAAAGTTCAAAGGAATTATTGAAACCTGTCAAACCCGTGCTTTTAGCTTGGAAAAATAATCTCAGAAGGGACCTGTTCAGGCTTAAACCGACCCTTTATTTTAGAAAACAATTCAGCCTACATGTGTTTTCAGCAATTCATCATCGGACCTATACGATTAAGTTGCTAATGACCATATGTGATTCAGTTTCAACAGATGATGGCCCGCATGGCCACCATCGAGCAATCAACGCACAAGAGGGCAATTAAGGATTAGAATTCATGTTCTGTTCACCGGAATAAATTTGCAGATTTGATTACCTTTCGGACAGCTGCGGTAGCTGTCCTTTGTCGAAGCGAATACTGACTATATCGATCAGAAAGTTTAAAGTTGCGGCTGTGCGTTTTGGCCTTGGGCTGATCGATTTTTCCCGTTCGCTCTCTGGCCTTGCGTATGGATTTAGGCTTGGCGTGACGGCAGTTGGTGTTCTGTTTCGTCCTCACGGTAGAGGATGCTGGTCATGCGTCTTCTGTGTCATGCCAAAGTCTCTCTTGCCAAAGTAGAATTTGCAGGTGGCTTGTAGGTGACACATTTTGGAAAGCAATTATCCTTAATTTTCGTTATTTGTCATGCATGTACAGTAATGACCGCGCCCTATAAATACTGCAATTTCCTGTGTATGCACCACTCGTCCCCACTACTTTTTCTGCTAACGTATCTGAGGAAGAATCCGCAATGGAGGTCAAAAAGTCAGACAAATAAAAGTGTTCTCCCAGCGATCATACCTTTTTATCAATTACCTCCTGGGAATCACATGTGCACTTGTAATGCCAGATGTGTATGTGTTCGCATACTCCTCTCTGCAAGACCTCACTATGTGGCCTATAATTTTCACTCAGCAAATTCAAGTTGCCGAAAAAAAATACGCGTTTATGTGGACTTCACCGCGAGTTGGTCTTTACATGTCAAGTTTGTTCTGTCTCCATTCATGACCTATGAACATTGCTCAGAGCCTAGTCTTTTTTCCTTATCCCCAAGTGCAATTGGCCTCAACATGCCGAACTTTCCAGGCGGGTTATGTGAGGAGGATGTGACTTAATCCTAATTAATTTATAAAATCTGTAACATTCTCATTTTTTTCATCATCTCTGTTACTGTATAGACCCGTAGCTGTAGGATCACATAGCCAACAGGGAGATGCCTTTTAGAACTTACATCTTCATTGGTCACCTGAAGGGCATGCCTCATTACCGTCCACTGAACATTTTCTATGCAGGGTTGATGAGTGAGTGAACCCAAGTAGCGGAAGAACTCGTCCTTGTTGTCAGGCAATAGGACATCAGGTTTTAAGGAGTTCACTGCGACGGACGAGCCGTAGGCAGTAAGATTTCGGATTACCGATAGGAGGTTGCCCATTTTTGAAAGACTGGATTGCAACCGGTTGGTCGTAATTTGGAAAAAAACGCCAATTATAGCCCTGCCTCCCTCAGACTTGAATGCTTCCGCTGCATTTTTGAACTTGGATGCGTAGGCGACAATTTGCATCTGAGGGGTGAAGCGTGGGGGCAGAATATTATGTGAACAGTAAAACGCAGCGTACAGCGAATACAGAGGCAGGGGCTACTTCATCTCATTTAAAAAATGTGAGACACCTAGTGAGTGCATGGGTTACTCACTATTTTATAGTAACATATTTTTATTTTGGATATTTTATGTAAACTGTTTCCAGTGGGGTCTTCAAAGGCATTGCCTACTACCCTAAGTATACTGTACTATACTCAGCGTAACGGGGATGACGTAGGCACACTTGTAGGTTACGCATGGGGTGCAATTTCCAGACTGACAAGAATTAAACCCATCTTGAGGTTGTATCCTAGTGTGAACTGATGAAAACACTCTGGACCTATTAGCCTAAAAGGCCTCCAATTTCTTTCTAGAATTATACGGGTATGTACGCAAGTGTCTTAAGAAGCCCCACCATGAGCGGTCAAAAGGAGAGGACCCTGAGTTCTGGCTCACAATCCCTTATGTGAAGAATTTATCAGAGGCGGCGGCAAGAATCCTAAAATCGTGCAGGATCGGTGTGGCTCATAGGCTGGAGTCAACCATCAGACAGCACATCAGGAGGCCCAAAGACCCGCTATCGTTGACAGAACAATCAACTGTGGTCCAAGACTGCCAAGACTGCAATGAAAGGTATTTTGGTGAAACGAGCAGACGTCTTGGCACAATGTTGCACGAGCATCAGCTCGCAATCAACCGCTAGGATAAGCTGTCTATGGTCTATGATCGCGTATATCAAAAGGACCACACGTTCGCCTTTGAGAAAGCAAGGGTACTAGGCCGAGCAAATGACAAGATGGCCAGATTGCTACTAGGGGTTTGGTCCTCGACTGGCACACTAAACAGAGCTATAGACCTTCATCCCGCCTACCAGGCGCTCCGCAGAAGGCTAATATTGGCTCATAATGGAGCAATAGGTCGGGTGGAGCAAGATATGCAGGGCCAACAGCCGCGAGCGAAGGTGGAAACGCTCAGGATGCACACAAACGACCTAACACACCTCATGGAAGCGCCAGCGAGGGCGCCAGCAATTCAAACAGCCACAAAAATCGATTGGTACAATCGATTGACACGTGGGCGTCATGCATCAGGTTAGCGGCTTTTGCAATTTCAGCTAAAATATAACTTTTTCCTAGAAATCTTCCCGTCTTCTTCCCATTCCGAAGAGGATGAAAGGAATACGGATATGTACATACATACTGCGATGCAGTGACTAAAACGAGAGAGCCAACGATGACCATTCATGACTTGTTGATTGCCGTCTGTTTGTCTTATCTTCTCCGGCAGATGGACCGTCGATTTCGACGATGTCCACAAGGAGCTTCAACGATTTCAAGCAACGCGGTGACTTCCGCGAAATATACAACGAAATTAGACTCGCAGAGAATCTACCCCAGTCTCTTACCACTCCCACAACAGGACCCGGTTGTCAAGAAGGCCGAAGATGGGGGAGGGCGCAGATGGCTGGCGCGTACCTAAAGTAGGTTTCCCTAGGTATGCTCCCGACAAGGAGTGCTATAAAGGCCACATTATGAAGGAGTCATTGCACCTGACTGTCAGCCCGCAGACAGCTACACCACACAACAAGGCACACTGGGCCAACTGCGGTGTCCAAGTTATCTCGTCAGCTGGCAACTTTTCAAGGCATGGCTTTTAGCACAGCGCAATATCCTCAAGCGCATCAGATTTTTAAAGTGAGGAAAGAAATGCGCAGACTGTTGACTTCGTTCTTTCTTCCACAGCCTACCTATCGGATATGACTTGTCATCGGCTAATCAAGCACACTTCAACTAGCTACACACTTCTAAACAGTGCACAGTGGATGCCCTTCCTCATAAAAGATTATGACGTAAATATAAATGAGCAGTATAGCGTAAAATAGGTCTTGCTTTCTCTGCTTTACTGCTCGAGCTGAGGTCCAGGACGCCATTTAATAAGGAAATATATTTGTTTAATTTTCGAAATTGAAGGAAAACCTACAGGATTCGGGCGAAATCGCAGATGGCCAGCATTTACGCTGCGCTTTCAACGATTTATAATGTAAGCAGGAAATGCTCCAAAACATTTTTTCTATCACCGGAATATCTAATCTGAAGTCAGTTAAGATCAAACCAAAACAAATTTAGAGAATCGCATTGTTTTCCAGAAGCAGGAAGCGAATGCAGATGTAAAAAATATTATTTGCCTATTTCGGACGTTGAACGCAGTAATAAACTTGTTGGAGCAAATGCTATCTTACCAGATTGATATTTAGTACCGCAAAAAAGTACTTTTATTTATCCGTGGAGGTAGATGCCATGAACCATTTTTAAAACATTTGATGCATATGGCAAGACAGTTTATTGTTAAATATTCTTTTCACAGATAGGCCATTAGTTTTGGCAAAAGCTTTGTATAAATTCGGCCACTCTCCTGAGTATTCCCCATTACAGCTCAAGACCTAAAGATATAAACAAATATTTCAGAACGCTCTTGTATAAGGAGAACAGTGGTTTAATTTATTTTCAGTAGGTGTAGGAAATATATCTCAAATATCTGTCGAATTTCAAAAATAACCTGATTGTAATCGAATTGCAGGAATGCCCATCAAGATATCTAATGGGATGAATGTCCTTTTACTAGACACAAAATGGTATATTTACGATTTCAACTAACAATTATATTTACATGTATGGATCAGGATTACAGCAATTTTTCACGATTTTATTATTTGCTGATTTTTTTAAAGAACTTGGTTTGTATAAAAAAGGTATGATTACTTTTTAGATTACCTTTCAGTTTCTGATTCTCTACAGACTGCCTATTACTATTTTGAAGTTTTCATGCATGTGTTAATTCGGATTTGTGAAATCTTGTATTTTACATGAGTTTGGTACTCGCGCGTACATTCTCGGAATGAATAGAGCCCATGCAATTTTTCTACATGTTTATATTTATATATATTTACTCAGAAATGTGCGAACACCGATCGAATAGGCTTCCGAAC